ACGCCATTCGCTTCTACTAGTATAGTAAATACTGAACTACCTGGAAATAATTTGAATAAAGAAATCTTGTGTGTTGCTCCTGTAATGTGACAGGAAATAATCTATACTAGATTATTTCAAGGTTGTTCAGTACTGTGGAAGTGTGCAGTGTACCGGTAGTATACTCGTAGAAGCGAGTGCCGCTGAAATATGGCATATATATATATATATATATAAGATGTGTATAAGAGACAGGTACCGCGATGGTGGCTGTCACATGTGTTGACATACTGCAACTTCATGGTTTGGGCAGTAAATTGTAACAAACATTTTGTCCCTACTCAAATTGACTCACGAGTTGGATAATCATTCAATGTTTGTGAAGCCCTGGGCCAAATGAGTGAAATCATACATACAAGGGTATATTTAATATTACCACGTAGTATAGAAAGAATTTTAGAAAGAATCTTTGCAAATGAAAATCAAATCACTTTTTAAATGAAAATGTACATTGTGAACCAATAATTTTGTTTATAATTATTGACACAAACAGTTAAGATAAATGATATAGTTTAAATTGGATTAAACAGTACATGCTAAATGTAATAGATGTTGAATTTCCTTATTCGTCAGGTATACTTTTTAAACACTTAAATGACTTATACTTTAGTGTAAATTTGGGTCAAAATGGTACCTTTATAATTATATTTGTAGTGAGCATAACGAGTTTTGTATATGAGTTCCACTTACCCATACTGATTCTCTGCTTCCAGTGTAATGTACTAACGTAATGTGCAGGCGTCTGAATAGTTAATCGTAAAAAACATTTTGTCCTTACTCAAATACTGTAACGAAGACAATCTTATCATCACAATCATCATCAACATCATCATCATTATCGTTATGATTATTACAATTACTGTACTACTGCTGTTATTATCATATATTTATCATTACTAAATAAATATTCGTTCCCTCATCATATAGATATACATGATTCTTCATTTATTTTTCAGTTGACAAATACGTAAAGGCAGAGCGTACGTAAAAAGTAAGTACAAGACCAGTTCTGTAGATTATTAACAAGCAGGTGGTAGACAAACACAAAGACCAGAAATTAGTATTAGCATTAGAAATAATATATTTATGGACAGATAGTGGTTAAGCATTGTAGGCCTACTATTTTATTAGTAAAATTAGTAAAATTAAATAACTAAAATACAGTTCTTAATATCAAATTATATATATCATTATTATATATTGCTATTCTAACTAATGATATTATTACTGTTATTGTCAACTAGGCCAATATATAATATGTTCTACAAGGATACAAGGATACTTTATTCATCCTACTACGGGGAAATTTCATACAACAATGTGAAAAAGCATAAGACAATTAACTGATAGTGATAATAATTAGTAATAATAATACTATTATTAATAATAATAATATTCGAATAATTTATTAAAATAATTTAATTTAACTTCGATATATGCTATTGTATAGAATAGATAAAATCTGTGTTCGAAGCGTTCCTTTTCTATAGCTTTCACAAAGAAAAAATGTCATCGATACGACGATACACCACTCAGTAATTTGTATTTGTATTGCTATTATTTTTATTATTATTATTATTATTATTATTATTATTATTATTATTATTATTATTATTATTAATATTATTATTATTA